GTCAGGCCCTGCCTCCACGGAGGCGGGCGGCAGAGGTTGTGGCCGCCTCTGTCGCCCAGAAGAGTAGTGGACTCCCCCTGCGGGGGGGAGTCCCCCCTCCCCCACAACAACGGGGGAGGGAGCGCGAGGCCCGCCTGTTAAACGGCGGGCCGGTGCGGGGGCGCCCAGAAGCAATGGCTCTGCCACATCCTGGGCGTCCTCCAAGTAAAGCACCGCGCAGGTCACCGTGTGGTTTTAGTGGGTAAGCCCAGCCGCCGCAACGCTAGCGGCGGCACCCCGATCGTCATTAGGGGGGCAGTCCCACATAACCCGGGCCACTTGTAAACTCCCTTCCCAGAGGGGGGCCCGGGTATCCATAAAGGATTTCCACACGTAAAAAAAAAAGAAAAAAAAGGCAATCAAGGACACGGATTACATTAAAAACATAGACTATGGAACGGTGGAAGAGTTCTTCATCACACAACGAGGCTCCATCACAGACATGATACGTGACATGAAGGAGCCCGCGGCAGGGACGGCGACTGAGGCCGCACCGCAATCAAGGCGAACGCTTCCTCGCATCCAACTCCCGACGTTCTCCGGAAAATGTGACGAGTGGCCGGCCTTCCGCGATCTATTCCTGTCACTTGTCTCTGCTGATCCCTCAGTGACGGGAGTGGAGAGCCTCCACTACCTGAAGACAAGCGTGAAAGGAGAAGCGGCACCGCTCATTGCGAATCTACCTACAACAGAGGAGAACTTTAAGAGAGCGTGGGCCATCCTGACCGACCATTATGAGAACAAGCGCCTGCTGGTGAGATCTTGCTTCGCCTCGTTCACGGCAATACCAAAGATGAAGAGTGAGTCAGTGAGTGACCTCAAACGCCTCTTCCATGGGATGTTGAGTACCGTCGGAACCTTGGAGAGTATCGGACGCCCGATCTCCAAAAGCTCGGACCTCTTTGTGCATCTTGTCACAGAGACCCTCGATCCGCGTTCTCGTCGTGAGTGGGAGGCAGAAGTGAGTGGAACCTCCGAGCCGCCATCGTACGAGACCCTGAAGAGCTTTGTGGAGCGTCGAGTGAGGACATTGGAGGCACTGCAACCGCACAAAGCCGAATCAACACTACCAGGCTCAGGCAAGAGCACCAGTGCAACGACAAAGTCCGCACGATCGCACTTGACGCAAAAACCGACAAGGAAAGGCGGTCGATGTGCACTCTGCGAGGAAGATCACTACATCCTCTTCTGCAGCGAGTTCCAAAAGAAGTCGGCCAAAGAGAAGAAGGGAATCGTGGAGTCGAAGCAGCTTTGCTTCAACTGTTTCGGGAAGCACCAAGTCGCCGAGTGCCAATCGAAAAAATCAAGTGCCGCGTGCAACGCGCGACACCACTCATCGACGCACGACGCCTACATCGCCAGCTCGCCCGGCAACAACCCCACTTCGCATCACGCGCAACGACGAAGCATGAGGAGCACCACGGTTCTCCTTGCCACAGCACGAGTCAACGTCGCTGACCGTCATGGCACTAAACAATCAGCACGAGCGCTCATCAACTCTGGATCCGAGATCTCGCTCATTTCAGAGGCCTTGACAACGCCTCAGACTACCACGAAGTGCCGCGCCGGTCTCGATCATCAGTGTGGGCGGACGTCGCACAGCAATGGCAAGGTCAGTGTGCACCTCTCCTCTAGGACATCGAACTTCTCCATGCCGCTGAACGCCTTAGTCCTGCCGCGCATATCGGCTTACGGCGCTCGACTGTCGACGGCGAGCCACGAATGGGCACACGTACAGGGCCTCTCATTGGCCGACCCAGACTTCGGCACTTCCGACCCCGTGGATCTCCTCCTGGGAGCCGACGTCTTCCACCTCATCATTCAGGAAGGCCTGAAGAAGGGCGGCCCTCAACAGCCGATCGCACAGCAGACGGCGCTTGGCTGGATCCTCTCAGGGATTGTACACGGCACTCAACAACAACTTCCTGCCCTGGCTGTTGAGAATAGATCCATATTCATATTGGTAATCTTGTTACTCTGCCCTTAGTTCTTTTTGTTTTTCTTAAGTTGGTACTATTGTCCTACATGACTAGCCTTTTTTTTTCAACCACGCTCTACACGCTGTATGTAAGATGTACTACGAGCGCTACCGCTGTACCGTTTATTTTATAATACACGCATATATATATATTGAGAACGTTGCAAGGCAAGATTAATTTGCGGTTCCCTCACTCTTGAATACGAAGGTAAGCATTCTTCAGGTTATGGGCCCAGAGCGCTACCGCTGCGCGACAAGTTAAGTCGCGACATATGACCGAGTGAGGTTAAGCTCGCGAATGATCTTCGTTCGAAGGTATACGAACGTACTCCTGGTGAACACATCTCTTGATGATGAAGACCGACGCTGAGAAGCCCACAGCCTCTACGCATACATCGGTGACCGTTGGAGGAAGCCTGCCACCGATAAACAAGCTGGATGGAGTTGCTACTTACAACAACTGGAAATTCGCAATGAAAATGTATCTGATACATGAAGGTTTGTGGAATTGTATTGTAGGAAGCAATGTAAACCCCGATCAAGATCAGCGTGCATTAGCTAAGATTTGTTTGAGCATTAAACCTGCTTCGTATGCTCACGTACGTACGGCGGCCACTGCTAAAGAAGCGTGGAAGAATCTTCAAGTAATATATGAAGACAAAGGTCTGAATAGACGTCTCGGATTGCTGACGTCCATGTTTAACCTAAGGTTAGAGGATTATTCGTCCACGAAACAATATGTCACGGAAGCGATGTCTTTAGCCCAAAAGTTAGCCGATATAGAGAAGCCTGTCGACGACGAGTTTCTGGCCATAGTTTTGCTGCACGGACTTCCAGCCACGCCTAAATTCGAATCAATGAAGTCAGGACTACAAGCCACTCATGATGTGCTAAGCTCGGAAGTAGTCAAGACGCGGTTACTTCAAGATGCTGCAGGAAAAGCAGATGAAAGGAAGGAGGAATCCGTGTTGGCAGTAGGTCATAAGGGACGTGCACGATCTTCAAGAAATGAACGGAAGTTAATCTGCTACGGTTGTAATAAAGAGGGTCACATCAAGCCAAAATGTCCTGATCTTAAGAAAGCAAAGGGGCGTAAAGACAAGAAGACCAAAGAAGAGCCATCGAAATCTGAAGAAAAAGGAAAGAATGCGCTGTTGCTCACCGCGACGACGGCTCTACTGGCAAGGAACTTCAAGACAGAAGATTGGTACATAGATAGTAGAGCGACAGCTCACATGACTCATCGGGAAGATTGGTTAATGGATTCAACGAGCAATGAGACGGTGGAAATCTCTGTTGCAGACAATTCAATCTGTAAAAGTAAGAAGTCTGGGCAAGTAGAAATCAAATTATCCAATGGAAAGACTCGGATCGTATCTAATGTGATGCATGTACCACAACTTTTTGCGAATTTACTATCTGTCAGTAAGATGACTGAAAGGGGTCTAACGGTCGTGTTTGATTCCAAGAATTGCAGAGTGTATGACACTGCAGAATGCAATGTAAAGGGAAGGATCCAAGTGACTGCTGCCAAGATTGGTGGACTCTATCAACTGGATCAATAACAATCAATAGCTCGAGTGGGAGCAACACAATCTTCCTCAGAATCGACGCAAGAGACAGCCATGATGACGTCATCACGTGACTTCGAATTGTGGCATAGACGACTTGGCCACCTCCACCACAAGTATATGGTAATGTTAAGAGATGGTCTTGTATCCGGTATGCATTTTTCAGATCCGCAAAAGGAGAATTGGAATTGCGTAGCCTGTCTGGAGGGGAAGCAATGCCGAAAACCTTTTAAAAGGAATGGGTCGTTTCAAAGAGCTACAAGG